GTTTGTGGGCAACAGGCTGCAGGTTACTTGGTGACAGCATGAGCCAACTGGTTACCAGAATTGAGGTGATGAGCGTGGCCCCCACCCGGCAGTCTCAGAGGCAGTGAACAGACTTCCACCATGTCAGGAAAGGATTACAGATGCACAAGGACAGATTCAGACAAAAGAAACTTCTAAACGATTTACATTTAAAAATATCTGTAGGCTTGGGAGAGAAAAGAAAAAGGATAAAGTCCTTAAAATAAAAAAGGGGGGAGTAATTGGGTGTAGTGGCACACACCTTTAATCCCAATACCTGGGAAACAGAGGCAGGCAGATCTGTTGAGTGCAAGGACAACCTGGTCTACAGAGTGAGCTCCAGGGCAGCAAAAAGATAGACAGAGAAATCTAGTCTCAAAAAACAAAAAAGTTAAAAATAAAAATAAAAGAAATAGAATTTAAAATAAAGCTACGTAAAGATGGAAAAGACACAGAGAGTCTGGATACTGTATGTTATTGTGTTGTCTTTCAATTGTTTGATGGCTGAGGAGGGAGCAAAAGCTGCTAAAAGATATTTGATCATAAATGCTGCTGGATTAATCTAACATATATATTTTTAAAATGCCTTGATTTCAAAATTTAAGCCAAAAGGTAAGCTATTTTGGAGAAGAGGTTTTGCTTTTGTTTCCACAGGAAATGAGAGGCTGTGGATTCACTCCGGGCTAAGAAAAATCAGGTTTGATCAAGAAAGACCCCCCCCCCCCCCACTGAGGAATCTCCAATAGGAGACGATGGCCCAGATTATGCAATGTTTCAGAGAACTTCTGTTGGGGTTTCCTCTTTGTTCTGCATCCAGAACAGCTTCAAGATTGCTGGCTGAGATGATCAACCCTCACAGAATTTTCCAGTCAGGACTTGACCATAACCTTAAATTTTCTTTAGGTCCCCATAAGATTATCAGTGCCCTCAATCAGCAGGAAGTAGCCTGGAAAACTTTGCCCACATTCCCCAAAAATGGATTATGAATATTTATCTTTGTTTAGAGTGTTGGTTACAAGTTGTTATGGATAATGGTCAGGAGAAAAAGCTAAACAAAGGAGATTAGATTCAAAGTTCTTGGGGTTTTTTTTTTCCTTAAAGGGGGGGGGGGGGGTGCTGTGGGACAATGATTCTACCCTGCCTGTAAAAATTTGTTTCTTGCACCTGTTTAATAGAATGCTGATTGGCCTGTAGCCAGGCAGGAAGTATAGGTGGGACAAGAAGAACAGGAGAATCCTGGGGAGAGGAAAGTTCAGTCTGCATTGGTGACCCAGCTGCAGAGGAAGCAATCTGAGAATGCCTCAAGGATAAAGGTCCCAAGTCACATGGTTAATATAGACAAGAATAATGGGCTAGTTTAAGATGTAAGAGTTAATTAATAAGAAGCCTGAGCTACTAGGCCAACCAGTTTATAATTAATTAAACCTCTGTGTCTTTCTTTGGGGCTGAATGGCTGCAGAACCAGAGGTACAGAAACCTCTGTCAACGACTACTAGAAGAAAATCTGAGAGCCATGAGCGTGCCGTGGCACACATGTAGAAGTCAGAGGACAACCTCGAGTCCTAAAAACAGGGTCTCAGGAACTGGAGAGATGGCTCAGTGGTTAAGAGCACTGGTTTTTCTTCCAGAGGATCTGGGTTCAATTCCCAGCACCCACATGGTAGCCCACAACTGTCTTTAATTCCAGTTCCATGGGACCTAACACCCAAGGCAAAACATCAATGTGCATAAAATATAAGTAGACAGACAGAGATAGATAACAGAATCTCTGCCTATTAGCTGTTCACTGCCGCACATCACTCTCTGCCTCAGTCCTTCAATTTGTGTGGCATGTCTTTTCCCCATGGAGCTACTTCACCAGCAAATGATTCTCCCTTTATACTGGGCTTTGTTGGTGGTGGTAGTTTTCTGAGACATGATTTCATGTATCTCTGCCTGGCCTCAATTCATTATGTAGCTAAAGTTAGCCTTCAATTCCTGATACTCTTACTTCTATACTTCCTGACTGCTAAGAAGTCATGAGCTACCATCGTCGGCCACTCAAAGGATTCATTCCAGAAAATATAAGTAACTCAAACACTCAATATCAAAATACAATTTGTTTTTAAAATGGGTAACTAACCTAGATAGACATATTTGAGAGACAATATACAAACAGCGATCCAATACATGACAAAGCTTGATATCACTAATCACCAAAGGCAAGACAATTTTCTCGACCCTATAAGGGTCACTAACAAAACGATTTCAAAATGGCAAGTTCTAATGAGATGTGACAAAGTGGGAGTAGTGCTGCAAGACTAATAATAAACATAGAACCAGTACAGACAACAGGAAAACTAAAAACGAAACCTCTTATAATGGAAAAATCCCACTACTGCTGCATATCTAAAGGAAATAAAGTCGATATGCCAACGCAACATCTTCACTCTTCTGTTTACTACAGAATATTCATGACAGCCAAAAAGGGAGTTCCTCCCACCCACCCCCCCATCCACAGATGGATGAGGACAAGGACAGAGCGATGAGAAGAGGGTGGTTACGGGATGGGAGGTGTAGGTGAATGGGCGGAATAACTTCTAACGCTGCAGAACAGAAATAGTAACTACGATTAACTGTGTATTTCCCAGTACAGGGAATAATAAATGTCTGAGATGACAGGCCGATTATCCTATCCGGTCATCACACATTGTCTGCAGTGCTGGACTTCACCACTGTCTGACAAATACTTACTGTGTGCCAGTTTAAAATGTGTGTTTTATAAAGACTCTGGCACTAGCATTATGATGCATACACAGACCAATAAAGAAGAACTGAGAACAAGGAAATAAACTCTTACGGTGACTTTAAGTAGCTGATTTTTCAACAGATGTGCCAACTGAACAGGAAAGACTAGTCTTTTCAACAAAAAGAATAGTGATTACTGGATATCACAAGCAAAAGAATGAAACTGGAGTCCACTTCTCATCCATACAAAAATTAATTCAAATTGAACAGAAGACCTAATTATAAGAGCAACTATGAAACTCTTAGGAAAACTCTTAGGCATATGTCTTCATGATGTTGGGTTGGGCAATCCTTCACCAAAGACAACCCAAAGTACCTGCAATCTCAGCACCTGGGCGGTGGACTGCATAGTAAGAACTGTCTTTAATTTAAAAAACAAATAAATTTAAAACTTTTTTTGCAATAGGTCCAAGGTGGCCCGGAACGTGCAACATTCCTGCTTTCACCTCCTAAATTGTGGGATTACCACACCTCGCAAAATTTAAAAGGTTTACACACCAACAAAGTAGAAAGATAAGCCACAGAATAGAACAAAATATCACAATCATATTACTTCATAAAGGTCTGCTAGCCAGAAGGAAGACTTAAAATTCATCAGTAAAAAAGACAAACCAACTAAAACATACACAGACTCTATAGGCATTTGCCCGAAGAATGCATACAAACAGCCAATAAGCACATGAAAACATGGCCAATGACACTGGTAAATGCCAATCAAAGTCACAGTGAGATACTACTGCACATCCACAAAATGGCTGTAGAAGGAGGATCTGGAACCCTCGCGTGTTGCTGGAGGGAACATAAAATAGTAGAACCACTTTGGAAAACAGTGAGGCAGTTCCTCAAAAAAAAAAAAAACTTATCACATGATCCAATAATTCCGCTCCTACATATATACCTGAGAGAACTGAAAATGTTCACACAAAAAAATTATATACAAATACCCATAGCAGCAATATTCATGGTAGCCAAAAAAAAGTAAAAACAACCTAAGTACCCATCGACTGTTGAATGAATAAATAAAATGTGGTATTACTTATGTAATGGAATATTATTTAGCCATAATGAAGTGTTAATACATGCTATGATATGAAAGAACCTTGAATATCTTATGCTAATTGAAAAGTCAGACATAAGGCACACAGCACACGCATCCATGTTGGGGAAACATCCAGGGTAGTCAAATCTTTTCAATCAGCAAGTAGATTAGTAGTTGCCAGAGGTTAGAGACCCAAGAGAGTACAGAATGGGTGTTCAGAGGGATGTGGTTTCCTTTTAAAGATGAAAATTAGACATATCGCTTTATGCATGCACTAAAGATCTCTGAACGTCACTTTAAATAGGGGGAAGTTTATGCTGAAAGAATTACATCGCAGGAAAATAATAGGAAAAAAATCCCCATACCAACTATTCTCCTCGTCAGCATCCAGAATATGAGTTCAACAATACAGCCACCCTTTTCATAGCACTACGGTGGCCACCCACCTCTCCAGCAGAAAAGTCAGTGTTCTCACCTTAACCTGAGACAGGGTTTCACTGCATGACTCGGGCTGACTTAGGCCTCTGTAGAGCAGATAAGTTTTGAACTCATGGAGATCAGTGGCCTCTACCCGTCTGTGTTGGGGTTAAAGGTGGGTGTCCCCACACCCAGCTAACCCACTAGGCTTCACAAAGTCAATGACCCTTCCTTTTCCACCTCTGACTTTGCACCTATCGCCCAACTTCCACTGGAGCTGTACTGGCCTCTTGACTTGTGGTTACCATAATCTTCTTCCCCTTCTGGGTTTTTTCCTGCCTGGAACACTTCTTCCAGCTACGTGCAGTAGTACCTAACGTCTTTCAAACGCCAACTGAAACGTCACTTTCTTTTAAACCCTCACCTGGCCATTCTGCTTAAATAGCACTCTCTCATTTATTTTGCTTTCCTCATAAAACTAATCATAATTTGACATATTATGTATTAAAATTATATGATTACTTATTTTTCTATCTTACTAAACTATACTGTAAACTCCATGAAAAAAAACTGATTTTGTTTGGGATCATATGCTCATATTCTTAAGCAATATCTGCAAACCAGCAGATTCTCAATGAATTCCATTCAGTGAGTGAATAAGCCAATCTATTCGAATGTACAGGAGAAACTCACAACTAAGGTGCTAAGTGTTCTTATCATGTCGGTGGGAACCTCTCACCTGTTCCAGGTTAGGGTACTGCACACGGCAGTAGCTGCAATACCCTTGTGTTTTCTGCATCTTAACTAGTCAGTCAGGAGGCTACTGGCCTCGAATGGTCAAACTACAAAGGAAGAAAAAAAAGCATTCAAAATAATAATAACATTAATAAACAGTAATTCCTTATTACTCTTAGGAAAATAGCTCAAAGTCATTCCTGTTTGTTTTTCGAGGCAGGATTTCACTATATACCTTAAACTGACCTAGAATTCACTGTGTAATCCAGAAACTAGCCTGGAAATCACAATTCCTCTGCCTCAACTTCCTGAGTAGGGGAATAATAAGCATGTACCATCATGTCTAACTTCCGTCAGTCCTGTGTCTACCTGTGAGGAAGACAATACAAAGCAGGCGCGAGAGCGAGTTACTGCGTCCTGGTGCGCAGCACTAGAGAGAGTAGCTTGCCGCAGCTCTCTCAAGACAAGGAAGGTTCACACCAATTTCTATAGCTCCGAGTTGCTAGAAAATGATTCCAGATGAAATAATACAGCACTAGGTTTCTAAAGATCATACTACTCTAATATACTTACTCAACCCTTCCGAAACAACGACTATTCTCCTGAGTTCTTAACAAAAACTCCAGGCTATCTGAATTTACGGCACCATGGAGAACATCTAATTCTCTATCGTACAAGTGGAGATGCCGGGTGGCAGTCAGAGGGGCTAAAAATACAAAGAGCAGCGAGCGCGGCCTCTGAATTACAAACCTTTCTAACTGTATAAACCACATACAATGGAGAAGTTTTATTACTAGTCTTTTGAGATTTCTTGATCAATAAATGGTTTACTAGCTTTTTTTTTACCCACATAAACTATAAGCCTTCCATAATACATCCAAGCTCAAAATCAAGCTGAATGCTAAAATCATTCCCCAAACTCTGAATCAGTAGGATTGAGTTAGCGTCTGGGATTCATGATGTTTAGATATTCTCCACGGTATTTAAAAGGGGGCTCGTGAGTCTTACACTGCTCCCTAACGGCGTACTCGGTGTACTCTCCGTACTTATGCTTTGCGTCTCAAGGACACCCCCTGCTGCTCTGCAAAAATAAAATAAAATGGTATTCCTCTCTCAGGAGTTCTCTCTTACTTTTCTAAATAAATCTACCTTTACTCTGCTAAAAAGAGACTGATTCCCTAGAGAATCTCGACACATAGACAATTAATTTGTTGCTAATACACACACACACACACACACACACACACAGAGTTGCAACTATATATACATAGTTGCAGCTATTTTAATAAATTCAATTCCTTGTACTTGCTGGTTTGTTACAACTGAAAACAGAATTGCAAATAAGTTTTTCACTTTAATTCTAATTATTTAAATATTCTAGTCTGTTGAAAAATATACAACAGAATCATTTAGTGTGCTGTATGTAGAGGGAGAAGTTGGAAAAGGTCCTGATGCATTCATTGCCCAGGCTACCTTTCAACTCCTAACCCTCAGCCTCTCAAGCACGGAGATTAGAGGTTTGTGCCACCAAGTCTGGCTCTGGGACGTTAGTACTTCTGAGTAAAATTATTCCACGATGTAAAAGGCTTACCTATTAAAAAAAACGGTTGAAGAATGAAATTACAGCCTCAAAACTAATAACTTGAGAGTGAGTGCAAAAGCCTTTTTAAGTTAACATTCTGCTATAATATTCACTTGCCCTATTACTCTGTACTGAAAACCTTTGCTTTTTCTGACTTCCCACATGTATAGGGAAAATAAATCAATTAAACCAGCATCTGAAATAATATATGTGAAATTTTGAAACTGGATTTTCCCATTGATTTACCTGATTTATTAATTGAAAATCAGAGAACAAGACAAAACTCATAGATATATTTTTAAGCTAAGCGAATCCCAGAACATAAAACTAAACTTTGAAAATTATAAAATAAGAAATGTTTTAGCCACTCTTTAAATATCTATTTAATACATTCACTAAATAAGAGGAAAATGAGTGCACCATCGCGTACACAAGCAGTAAACCTTGCAGACTTTGCTCCTAAGGCTAGGTCACCTGTCGTTTCTACCGCCTTTCACGTCAGTGAGTTACAACAAAACAGAACCGTGAGTGGGCAGTCCTTAATTAAATTTAACATTCCAGGACCTAAAACTTACCAAATCCAATCCTTCTGGAATAGAAAGACAACACTCTTATATTACACAATTAAAATATTCAAGCTGATTCTAAGTTGACCCAAGAACATCAGCTCATTTTATGAACTAATAAAATTTTAATTATCAAAAGGATCATTTATCCAGGGTCTAGAATTATATTGCTTTGCATGAGTCAATAGGTCTTTTCATATAGATTTTGGATTCTACTAGAACCTGGTTGGATGTTTGTGTTTTAAAGTAACGAGAGGATTACCTTGAGCAGAAAAGGACAAGTATGTCTTCAGCTGGATCGATCTGGATGGGCGTCTGTAAATGCAAACAAAACCACTCTTTAGATAGGAAGTCTTACATCTATAGTGCATCGAACAAGTATACCGACATTTAAAAATAATGCAATTATATCCAGTAACAGAAGAAAATATTGAATTTTGAACACAGAGCACTTTGCACACGTTGTACACACTTCTGCAAACAGTGGAACAGCAACCATGAGCCCAACAAGCACTTCCCTCCTCCCGTGCACTCTCGGCGCTGTAAAAGGTGCGGCCACACGCGTGCCTTCAGCTAGTCAAGGGGAGCAAAACCTGCCCGAAACCAAAAGAAGTTTCTGGTAAATTTCTGAAAGGAAAACACACTTGTGAAACTAAGTTTGGGCCCAGCACCCAATTCTCGGCTGCCATGCTAGTTTTAAGTTGTATGTATATAGTCACTCCTTGTCCTCTCTTGGTGCCAGTCAACAATTAAGCAGAATGGCCGGGGGTTTTAATTCCTTTTAATTATGGGTCAGGTGTTAACTGTACCCAGGACCACTTGTAAAGGAAAATTCCAAAAGCACCGATAAGACCATTTCTTACTCGAAGTATATGTTGCCAGATGCCTGCCTGAAGCAGAACTCTATCTTAGGAGTTTGAGGGGATAAACACAAGCTCTCCCGCCACAGAGGAGTGTAAAATGGAACTGGAAAATCAGTGTAAAAGTGTGAAGTGGTATCTGAGAACCACCACAGTAAAAAAAAATAGTAAGCGTGAGGCAGAGCAAAGCTTGTGCCAGAGCACTTGCCCAGGGCACCGGCCCGCGAGGCTTGGCCTGGCTCCACTACTGCCGACAATAAAAATGTGATAATGGCCTCAATTACAGGATCAAGTTAGAGATCTGGTGCCTGAGGATATAAAGGGAGATACTGGTTTTTAACCAAATTTTGGGAATCAGTAGAATTTACTTACAATAAAGTTAGGGGAAATTGTCCAAGAAGCAAACAAACATAGGTATAAAAAGAAAAAGGTGTCAAGTATATTTGAAGATAGTAAATTACTAAATTCTGCTGAACCAAAGGTTTGATTTGAGAATTTAAGGGGCAGCGAAACAGAAAAAGTGGGGTGCGTTTTGACACGGCAGTATTCAAAAGCCAACCAAAAAAGGGTAGCAATTTTTTTACAAGAGGTATATTAATGGTTTAAAGAAATTTTATAAAAGGAAAATACGTTATTTTTCACTCAAGACATTTCTGTTGCACAATGGTAAAAACAAGTAAATAAAGAATATAAATCATTCATTATGTTTTACAGAAAGGGATTGATACTGGACATTCCATTCTATCACCCTCTACTTTCGTTCAAAAACATACAATAAACACCTTTCCACACCATTACATATAATTCCAAATTGGAATGTTTAACGGCTATTTAGTCCTTCATTTTATTTGTGCAAGGCAAAAATCTCTCTCATCAACAAGATAAGAACTGGTAGTTGATGAGCCAATAATTTTTAAAACACATATATACATAATCTTAGTATTTTAACTTAAAATGTATAATATATCCGTTTATACATATTTAAAATTGGGTTGGGGTTTTGTGCTTCACTGTTTAGAGAGTTTTTGCCTTTTCTTCTGCGTGAGGGCAAATTAACCTGTATTTCAAGCCGTGTTTCCTTCAAAGACCGAGGGTTCGCTCCCTGCGAATTCCCTTTCACCCCTGTGAAACAGAACAAGAGCCTAAACGCATCTTCAGACCCAGGAGCAAAATTATGATTGTTTTCCATCTTTTCCAACCTCTTCCAGATGTCATACCCAGTTACAGCTTTTCAAAAAAAGCTTTTTTTTTAGTCCAAAGCAGTCTATTTATTTTTCATAAAATTTCTAATGCCATTTTTAATGACAGCATTCACACTCTACATTCATTGGATTTTGTAACAGATAAATTGCATAAACCAGTCTAGGGAAGTGAATGGAGATATCTGAATTGCCTGGGACGCTACTGCTGCTGCTGATTCTTTCTTTCTTTCCTTCTTTCTCTGTAAAAAAATCTCTTGCATATCTGAGAAGTGTACTGAGCGAAGAGATAAACCAATAATATTGTTGACTTGGTTTAGAACTATATTGCCTTTCAACTCACTGTCACTGTAATGAGAACTAGAGAAATTCAGAATCCTCGTAGGAAATACTTCTCAGCTGCCTGACAAAAGACATCAACTTTAAAATAAATAAATAAATCAATGAATAAAAACAATAGAAAGCTATCTTTTAGAATACAACAGTCTGAGCTAGTTTGGGAGACTGACACGGAAGGACCATGAATTCAAGGGCCACCTGGGCTACATACGGAGACCCCTGTGTCAAAAATAAGAAATAAATTAAAAAATTAAACTCCAAACAAACCCCATAATCTAAATTAGCTGTCTAGCAGTAGGAAATATGAGAAGCAATCATAACCATGGCCAAGCCATATATAAAAAGACCGTATTTTTAACTCAGTGTCAGTTCCTTCATATTACACTAGCAACCAATTTTCACCTTTGCTTTTTTTTTCCTTTTGGATTATCCATGCTATGCTGGCTTCCCGATGGCGACAAACATCTTGGACACTTCCATTGGGTCCTGATAAAATAATAATAGCTAACCGTGAGCAC